CATAGCTCCCTTTTCTCCTGACAGCGTGGGTGGGTGCAGAGGGTGTGCCTGGCTGGTGTGTCCCGTCAGAACGGGACCATTCTTTCAGTGGCCTCCAGGAGCCTCTCCAGGCACAAAGGGCTCCTTGTTACGGCAGGTAGCTTTCTGAGCGCTTCAGCAGATGCCTCGGCATGCCAAAGGCGTAAAGCGCTTGGAAGGGAGCACGCAGAACATTTCAGCCACGTTTCTTAAAATAAATGTCGTGGCTTAAATAACAGACGTTTTCCTCGCAGACTCTAGAATAAGCACTGATGCTGAAATAGCGTTTGAGTTATCGGACACGATGTTTGCAAAAATTTCTCAAAATTCGGTAACTGCAGTGAGGTTTGGGGAGGTTTTGCTTTTTTTTTTCCTAATGCTCGTGTTAGAAGCACCTCATCTCCTTCTGCTCATCATTTTTTCAAGTCTGTTTGATTCTGATTGCCAGATTTCAGAGATATGCACCAGGCGCACGACTGGGATGCAGGCAGGCTGGGTGTGCTTGTGTCTGTGATAAACCTCAGGTCACCGTCGCTGTGGGACTGAATTGGGTAGCAGCCTGCAGTCAGATGCTGGCTGAAGGGGGGTGGATCGGCGCTGCTTCCCTCGCGCTTCGCTGGCCGCCGGAGGAAGATGCCTGGTGCTCAGCGCTGAGCAGTGCGCAGCGTGTCACCCCGGGGAAGGGCTGGCCTTTGCTTTGGCACCCTGCACCAAGGCGAGCAGCGATCTCCTGCTGAGAATCGAGACGTGCTGGTGGGAGAGGGCGTTGTGAAAGCGGTGACGGAGAGGTGTAGGAATCCCAGGGAAAGCTCAGTGCGGTGGAGCAGTCGCCCAGCCGGCGCAGCCTTTCCCTCGCTCTTGCGTAAGATGATGTAAGGTGACAAAGAGCTAAACTGTGATCGGTCCTGTTCTGGTGTTAATTAGCAGTGACTGCATTGCTTTTGATAGAATTACAGGAGCGTAAAGCAGGCCCACAATTAAGTCTGATTTTGATCTTAGCAGCTTCAGACAATATAAATGCAAATACCATTTGAGATGAGTTCAAATGTTTTTGGGTTTTGCTGGAAAAAGAGCAGAGTAGTCAGTGGTTGGTAAGAGCAAGAGAATATGACCTACTTCCATTTCAGAACGAAAACACTGACCACAGGAGTCTTATCTGCATACTGAAGTTTTACCTATGTTTTTGCTTTGTACTACACCGTGTGACTGCTCTGTCCTCACCTTTATTTAGGAAGCAAAACTCATTCCAAAACATTGTGCACCTGATCCTTATTTCCAGCTAAGTCCTTTTACACTTTCACAGCAGGGGAAAGTACAGCTCTTTCCACTTGGGTCTACGTATTGCCAAGCAAAGCATGCTTGGTAGGAAAAGCACATCCTTTATTATGAATGCCGTAGCCGAGAGCAGCCTTTGTCAACCGTACTCAGCCGCTGAGTTATTAAAAGAAGAGCTTCGGACTGTATTACACAGAGAAAAAGATAAAAATAGGGTGTCTGACGCATGCATCCCATGTCACACGCCAGGAAACGGAATCATTATACCACCGAGTACAGTATTCCAGAGCATGCGTGGAAAATATGCATGGATGTGGACGCGCGAGATCTTTCCTCACCAAGAAAAAGACTCAGTCCCCCTTTTCCCCCGTCCCATTTTGCATCTGTCTTGTTCAGTATTCCCTTTACGTATTGACAAATCCAACAGCCTAGAGGACCGCAGCCCTGCCTTTACTGGCACCTCTCCCCTCGTCGCCTTGCGGAACGGTGTGGCTGTAATACCACTCTCCTGTGTTTTGAGGGAGAATGTTCTTGCTGTGCCCAGCGGAGAGTGAGCAAAGCCTTGCCTATTCTCCAGACATCGGCAGCATGCTGAAAACTGCTAAAGCTCAACGCTGTCTGTCACAGAAAGTGTGTGCTGGGTGCGTAATCTAAAATTAGTCATCCACAGTATGTGCCCCTTTAAATGTTAATCCTTGCATCGTTTTCTTTTATTGCTTCTGTTGGCATACGTGATTATGTGACATAATATAAAAGTAAATAATGTGATGCAATGGGTAAAACTCAAAGGGAAATACATATCACAGATTAGATGCCTCCTACTGTATAATACGAAATAAAACTTGCAGTGAATTAAGGGTGAGGATTTTGCCTGGTTTGAGGGCAGCAAAATCAATTGTATGGCTGTTACATTGGTCTTTCTGGATGTTCTTGACGCTTCCTAGCTCTTGAAAACTCGTGTTTGTTCAGTGCTGTAGCCACTCCTTGTCATCAGGTGTAGAAGCAGCTGTCAGGGAGTAAGTAACTGTGGGCAACGCATCCAAAGCAAAGCCCAGCAGGGCTGTGCGACAGCAAAAATAGTAGGGTATTTTTTTAAAAAAAAAAGCAAACATAAAATCAGTGCAGAACATGCATCTGAGATCTGGTTATTCATTTTGTAGCATGTGAACCCTTCTCAGGGGAGGACAGGTATGCAAAGCTGAGGACTTTGGGTGTTTGGTTGCCTCCTGGTAGGAAACCTGTGGGAAAAGCACAAGCTGAGGCTCAGCAGCAGGTTACAAGATACAGCAGCAGCTGAGTTTGGATTTAAAGATAAACCCTGAAATAGCAGAACCCAATGCAAGACCACCGTTTTTTGACCCCTTTGCCCAGATTCAGTAAAACATATGGGTACCTCGGTGTGCGATTTTGCTTTTGCTGAGTTGAGGTTTGAGTTACTCGCTAGTCTATTTTTACCTTTTAAGCGGCCTTGTAATTCAATATGTGTTTGTTTTAATTTTACACTCTCCATAAAAAGCACTGTCCATGATGGGTTGGAGAAGTGACCGCTGGTGATGCATAGACATTTAATCGGCTGGTGTGTCACACTGCCTTGCGTTTCCCCTCTGCAAACCCGCGTGCTGCTCGCGATCAGAAATACCCCACGATACCTTGCGTGTCCTCCATCATCTAGGCTTTGCCGCTGGGGCTCTGGAGGTGCCGAGGCAGAGCGAGATCAGCCTGTGCCAGACCCGGGCCTCTGCGCCAGCCCCACTCGCGCAGTGGTGAGCAGCCGGGGGGACGCGGTGGTGGGTGAGCAGGGTGGTGGCTTCCCCCCCACCTACAGGGGTTAAAGCCTGAAAGCCCTGTTTGTGCAGCATAGTGCTCGTGTTGGTGGCAGGGGCCGTAGGAGGTCTGCTCTTCTCTCTCCGTCGTTTTGCCGATACCGCAGATTTTCAGATTGCTGCTGATGTGTTTTCAATTTGACAACGCTGGTGTGGAAACCCCCCATACCGTGTCGCAGCCCCATCGCTCCAAGCTGCCTTCGTGTGGTGTCTCAGCAGTGCGGAGCTGATAGAATACTGTGGTGCTGGAAACGAGCCTCCTCCCCCTGTCTCTGCATCCCCCATGCGCTTTAGGTAAGGATGTAAAAATTGCTACAACGATATCAAACAAATCAAAGCACTTCCGTTTGCCCCTAGCTCTTCTGAACAAAGTGTGGGGTGAAAAATCTGCCGTGTGCCCAGTTAGCGGTGGAAGATGTGTCTATGCACAACTTCATTCCTTACTTATACATTGGTCACCGTGGTACCTGAAACATTTCCGTTATGCATTCCTATTGCCATCAGCATGCTTGGTAGCAGTGGGAAGGCTTCGTGCCTGTGTTTGCACTCACCAGAATTTTGCAGTGCTCAAGGAGCAGAAGTGACTCAAGATCTTTGTTCTTAATACCATTCTTGCTGTCAGATGTCATAATATACCCTGGAGGGATAGGTCTTGCATTATTATGAAGCCACAAATTACTTGTTAAGATTTAAGGAGAGTGGAAGCAAAAGAAACACAAATATCAACAACATTTGATAAGGGTTTCACCACTTGTTTTGAGCTTTATTTAGCTTCAAACTTGCATGCAACATAAATTAAAACTGTTGCTCCTCACCAAATTACCATCAGTGGTCTAATTATGACCTATCAGATTTAGCGGTGGTGCAGTGATGGTGGATGACTTGTGCCCAAACCCACCTGAACCGTTTGCAGGGGAAGCTAAACCTACAGCAGACCGAGCAGGTTTGCTCTGTGACGGTGCATCTCCTGGGCCAGCCCGCCTTGCCCATAGTGCTCGCTCCTACGGTTGCTGCATCCTCCCTTCCCTCGGGATGGGGCTTCAGAGTTAGCTGCTGCAAGATCGCTATTTTTGCAAGACGTGTTTGCCGGTGTTGTGTGGCAGCGTTAAGCGGAGGTTGGAGCTGTTTCCAGGCAGCTCCACCCGTGCTCACCTTCGCACCAGTGGGAACCCAGAGCAGCTTCTTCAGGAGATGGTGGGGATGAGGTCAGGCTCTGCTCCTGCTCCGTCCCCAGCCTGTGGCAGAAATAACTCTTGTTGTCATCAGAGCGGTCACTGTAACATGGATGGGGTTCAAGTCAGGCCCAGTAGCTTCAATGAGATTTTTGTGCGATTATAACAAGAATTTGACACACATGGTGAGCTACTAGTCATGTATATGTGATCTGTCTCCGCGCTGTCCCAGGAGGTATTTACCAGCATAAAAATCGGTTAATGAGGGGACGTGTCCCGAGCAGCAGCCTGCTTCTGCGTGAGAGGTGACCCGGGAAGCTCGGGGATGGATGAGCCTTCTCCTTTCCACTTGCAAACTCCGTCGGTTCTGCCACCCTCAGAACTGGGAGGGAACATTGACTTCATTGTGGGTTTTTTGCTGAACGCCATGGCAGAATTTATGCAAAGTTTTCTGTGTACGGAGCGGGCGTGCTCAAAAGCTCGCCCCATGTAAAGTGCCTCGGGTCCTTTAGGATAATGAGACATTTTCTGAGTGCACTTTTTTATTGTACCAATATTACATTACAGGAAAAATGGAGGGGGGGAACTTAACACATAGCACCTGTCACAAGTTCTCTCCTTGAATTAGGCTCTCCTGCTTTATAAAAATTTAATTGATTCCTCGCAGTTTATGTGCATGGTGCTCAGTGGGCGTTTTCTGTTCTCTTGCCAGCTACATGGTTACTTAGAAAGCGAGCCGCTCACGCTACAGCTGTTCATTGGGACTGCAGACGACCGCCTGCTGCGACCCCATGCTTTCTACCAGGTTCATCGGATCACTGGGAAGACCGTTTCCACCACCAGCCACGAAACAATACTTTCCAACACCAAAGTCCTGGAAATTCCACTTCTGCCAGAGAACAACATGAGAGCAATGTAAGACCTAGGCACCGTATCTGACTCCTAGCAGATTCCTCTTGGTCGCCTCACTACAATTTTCCTTTTCCTATCTTTTTTTTTTTTAATTGTTCTCTCTGTAATAGTAGGTTTTCGCAACTTTTCCAGGACGAATTGCCCCTAATCAGCTTAAAAACAAAATGAACTTCACAAATATATATGACAACTGATTGCTTTCATTCTAGAGTTTCAACCAATGTGCTTATTTGCCATTTAAAATAAGTATCTCAGTTACCAAGCTGTAAATATCTCCTACCTCAGCTCCTGCATTTAGTTTCTAAATATGACACCTCTTGCTCCTATACGCACTAGCACAAGGAACAGGGCCTATTAAAATTTATCTTTGTATGTCAAAGGAAACTCTTAGAGAGCATTTCTAAGTACCCTAGTGGTTTTTTGAGACAAATAAAATTACTCTTATTTCTTACGTAATAAAAATCAGCATTTTTCATGGCAGTTGTTTAGAAGCAAGGCTTCTAGAACTAAGAAGGGGAGTAAAGGTGATACACATTTCAGACTGGCGTTATTAAGCTGGGGTAAGTTTAGACCTGTGCAGAAAAGCAGGCATGGATGTCTTAGGATCTCTGAATTAGCAGGAGTCTGAGTGATAATTAAGTGTCCCATAGGTCCATTACACACAGGTAGATTTCATTATAGGATTGTATATAAAGGTTCAAATATCCCTCTGTGTATGTGACATACATGAGACCCTCCATGTTATTTAATCCCGTTCTCTCTGTCCTCCTCGTTCAGATGATTCTAACCCTTATCTGAGGTGTCTCCCTTGGGAGGAATTTGTGTGTGCTTGCATGCATGTACATTTCTCAGTGTGTATATATGAGAATGTATTCATATTGATATATAGATGCGTGCACCTTTGTGTGTATGTATAGGGAGCTAGCAAGATAAGCAGGTAGACAGAAAGCAAGCAAGAAGTCCTGGCCCCACCAAACCAAATACCACAGGAGAATCCCAGGGAGCTTACCAGAATCACAATTTCACTCCGTGTTACTCATATGGTTTCCTGTGCCTTAATGAAGTGAAAGATGGTATCAGACACCTGAAGTCCTTCTGCATGTAGTGGTTATTAGAGGCTGACTTTCAGTGTCAGGTACAACATGCCCTGGAGTGCCTCGCGTAAATAGAAGAGCTAGAATATGTTTAGCTGCGTTGCCAGCTGGGCTTAGGGTGGTCACTCAAGACCTGAGGACCTCTGTCAGTGCATTGTGTTAAAAGTCATGACAAGCCTGCAAAATTATTGGCCACATTTGCTGTCATGGTAAGCTGGCACGACTCCATTCAGGTTATTGAAGTTTCACCAATTTGTACCCAGGCAGTATTTATATGGCCCTTTATTTATCCGGTTTGACTTTTGGCCATCTAGGAACATGATTACCATTTCAATCGTCTTTTTCCCTAGAAGAAAGGTAGTTACACAGTTTGGGAGCCAAGCTGAATATTTTCGTGACATACGTGCCAGGTCGTAGTAGAGCTCTGTCAAGAACCACAGACAGTGCTTTGGCATTAATAAGCCTTACACATCAGCAGTGCTCACCTCGTGTAGCACTAACAATGTATTGAAATTGGGAGCCAAGGACTTTTCTTTCTCACAGATACTTTGTGTATTCCAGCCTTGATTCAGTGAAACACTGAAGCTCATCTGCACATTTAAACTTTTGCACGTTTAACTACACCTCTTGACTTCAGGTTTTAGTGTCCGCAACTTTACAAGCCTGAATTTAAATGCTTTTTGTCCTCTGAACTTTATTGACTCTGAACTAATTGTTATTAAGTACTTTTTATTTATTCGACAAGTGTTGCTATGGAGAGACAACATTGAGAAGCACCCTGTTTCTTCTGTATCTTATGAATCTTTGCGTAGAATTTTTACATGGGTACAAATATTTCATAATTCTTATGGCTTCACCTGCTAATAGGCGTTGTTGAGAAGCTTTAATACTTTCGTTAGTTTCTTTGATCGTATCAGCAAGGGCCTTTTTGTTGTTCTGAAATTCATACTTCAGAAAAAATGTAGATCAAAACTGCTGCCACGGTTCTTGTTTGCAGTTTGCTTCAGAACAGAGCTTCAAAGATCTGGAGGGGGAATTAGACTCTTTGAATGCAAAATAAAATTAAACTATGCATATTCAGTGTAATAAAATGCATGCCAGAGACCAGTACCCAGAAGAAATTGCCGTGTAGGCTTTGTAGTCGTGGCCAAAGTAGAGGTATTTTTGCAGTGGGTTTCTGAGTGCTTATGTTTATATATCTTTTATTCTGGGAACTTCCTCCGTTGAAATTTGCTTTGACAAAAATCCTGACTTGTAAACTCATCCAGGAGCAAAGCAAAGTTAAAAAAAAGGAGGGAGAGGTCAGAAATAGTGGTAGTTCTACCTGATGAAAAGCACATTTTTTTGCTGATGTGGAGGGAGGACTCTGAGTTTAGGTTTTTTTCATGCAGAGCTTCAGCTCAATGGTCACCTTGGGAGTATTTCCAGCTCACTCAAATACAAACACATTGACAGTAGAACTGACCTCGGGGGGGCTGTGCTCATTAATAAGTGTTTTCAGGACTTTGCAGTAGAAAAAAAAACATGTCAGATTTTTCTCCAAATTAGCTGTAACAAGTGAAATTGTAGGTAACCTTTCATTCTAGGTTAGTAACGCTTTGTGCACTACTGTCTCATCCCATTGACTTTTCTAGTCTCTCTGGTTCTTTGGTTAATCTGTAAGCACCATCCTTACAGGATGTATTGGAGAGGAAGGATCTTTTAGATTTTTTCCTCATGGAACTGAAGTAATATCCTAAATATATGTGCTCAGCAGCAGCTACTACCTGTTACTACAGATAGCCCCAACTTAGCTACTTGTGGGTGCAAGTGCTAGGCTTGACAAAGTCTGCCGTGTTCAGCCTGGTCGTTGGGTCGTGTCTGACTCAGATGTGTAAGAAGGATGTACGGGAGAGAGGGAAGATCCTGCACGCTCGTGTCTTCCTGAAGTCTGCCTGAAACGAATTGAACTGGTCTGTGTTTCCTTTCGGATAGCATCGACTGTGCTGGGATATTAAAGCTCCGAAACTCTGACATTGAGCTGCGCAAGGGCGAGACAGACATTGGTCGGAAGAACACGCGTGTGAGGCTGGTCTTCAGGGTTCATATCCCGCAGGCCAATGGCAGGACCCTCTCCTTGCAAGTAGCCTCCAACCCCATTGAGTGCTGTAAGTAGCAACAAACATTCTTCTCTTGCTGGGTATTGTGCACCCCACACCCGGTCTTTGTCCGCTGACATGCTATACTTTGGTTTTGCTTTACCTGTCCAGTTGGTGAACCTTAATCTGCTTTCCAAAAGCACACGTTTTATATTGAAGACAAAATACCCGTGTCTTAGAAAAAAACATGTAGCTTTGTGCATTGATTTCTGTAGGAAAGAATACACTTAAAACAAAAGCAGAGTGCACTTAAACTAATAGTAGACCTGGGAGTGACAAGGCTTTATTTTTTTGTGACTCCCTATCATACAGGTAACTGCTGTAAGAGTTTTGGAAAAGAGCTATCGTGTCCTGTTCGCTCTCTGTCTCCCCATCATAAAGCAAAAACCAGCAAGCAAAACCCCAACCCCTTTGATGTGGAGCTAGCAGTATTCAAGAGCTGACACACTGGCACAAGCTGCTTGTGGCTTCAGAAAACCTCCAGAAACCAGGTTTCTGCAGTAGGGTCTCTTTGATTGAAGAGACTGCTTTTTATCAGATACGCTAGGGCACCCTCCAAAGACACCTATATCATTCTTGCTCCTTAAGCCTCGTCAGCCTCCCATACAAAAAGTAAAACCTATTTGCTTGGTGCAGCTTTAACACTCCAGCATAAGTGGTAGAAATCAAATTACAGTCTAACTCTCATTGCTAATTTGTTTGGCTGGGTGGACGGAAACAGTATTCTGAGGTTTTTCTGGATTCCCAAAAGTGAATTTTCATGATGCTGACAGGGTAGGGAGTAACTTAACATCTGGTAGGTATGTGGGGGTGGGTGAGGTCTGGGAGTGGGGAGCAGAGGGGATGAAGAGGAAGGCTTGACTATCCGTCGCGCTGTGCATGCTGGAGAGTCATGTCTGCACTTGTCCCTGCATCATTCTCTGGCTGGAGTCCCACACAGCATGTCTGGCAGGTCCTGGAGCCTGTCAGCATTTGATCTCTTGGAGGCACGGTGCTTTTTCAGGGGCTGTTAATAGAGAGGCTGCAGGAAAGAGCATCCCTGCACTCCTCTTGCAAAAGCAGTGGCACTGGTGACAGCCTTCCAGACCCGCAACAGTACTCCATCCTTTCACCTAGGGTAACACTGCTGCCACTCTGGCAGTCCAAGTCTGCAAGAGGGGCAGAAGTTGTCGGAAAGGGTAGTGCTGTAGACCAATGGTGATAGCTCCTCTCCTTCACAGTCACTCGCTTAAATAAACACATGAGCATTGGCAGTGGGAAGGGAGTTCCATTAAGGTAAGCCTATGTTATTTATGATGAGTTGCAGAGCCTTCTTACCTGCAGCAGGTAGACTGGCATAGAGCCCTGTCTTCTGTCCTGGATATGTATGAGATGAAGAATTTCCCCTTTGTTTCTTGTTCAAGGGAAAGCTCTAGGCTAACGAGCAAAGCAAAAAAATGTGAGGAGTCGTGGTTTTATCCTGCTCCCGTTGAGGCTGATGAGAGCTTTTCAGTTGCTAGATGGCAGGATGAGGCACAATTTGAATACGTCCTAAACTGGTCTGTGCAAAGGTGCCAAGCTCAGGAAGCCACTGAATATGAAACAGATTGGATTTGTATCAATTAACTGCAGCTTTGGGGGTTGTGTGATGAGCAAAAGTGTGGTACATGCACCCTGAAAGGAGCGGAAACGAGGAGAAAAAAATAAGTACTGGTGTTCTTTCCAGTGCAGAATGTGGAATAAGCTGGTGCCAAAAACTTCATGCATCTCTTAGTCCATGTGACACCAGGAGGAGCCATGTAATCTGGATAAAATGTCACGTCATCCCTTGAAGCACAGCCACACTCGCTCTGTGTCCCAGTTGGGGGGGATAAAATACGTGCCACGAGAATACCGTATTCTGTTTGCGTGGATCCACGTGTGCTTTGGCACGCAGGTGCTGGTGGAAATACTCTCTCTAAACTGTGCACTTTGGCTGGATCACAAAGCCCATGGCGCCTGCTGCTGCTGTAAGACAGTTTGCAGAATTAACGGTAGAGTGGTTAGTGACAATACAGTGTCCACGTTTTGGACACGGATGGTCATCTTGTCATGTGTGCCTTGTAAACACACAGCATATGTGTTATAAGATTAGATAAAAGAAAATTATTTTAAATAAAAGAATTTCAGTTGTTCTTTGTGAGCCTTTTGAATCTGTACTGCTATGTTTGATAACCCTGTGGTTTACAATCGAGGTGCTTGAAAACCAACCAGTTTTGTTTCCTGCAAGCCTTCTGACCTTTCTTTGCTTCTATATCAAACTCAGTTTATGAGGGTAATCATGAAGTTACTTACTAATGCAGTATTTACTTATTTTTATGTGTGTTTGTGTTTGCTTTTGGGTTTTTTTCCCCCTTATCTTCTTTATAACTCTCCAGCTCAGAGATCTGCCCAAGAACTGCCTCTGGTGGAGAAGCAAAGTACTGACAGCTTTCCTGTTATTGGAGGGAAAAAAATGATACTGACTGGCCATAACTTTCTGCAAGACTCCAAAGTCATCTTTGTGGAGAAAGCACCAGGTATGTCTTTTCAATCTAGACTCTGGTCTGCCTCTTATCCTCTGTTTTAAAATCTCTGCCAAATGATGAAAGCATAAATACGGTAATGACATTTTCTTCTGCATGTAATATGTTTTCCATATTGCTGGGCAAAGCTGTGAAAATGATCTGAGCCGTGCCGAACGCTGAGCTTTCACGCTATGGCAGGTGTAGTTAGAGGTAGACAATAGTGGCATTGAAAGTCAAAGCTGGCCGTTTGTTTTTGTAGCAAACCACCTCTGACCCGGGTAGGACCTGTGAAGGGTGTTCGAAACCTCGGGTGGCGTGTCCCCGTTAAACCTGCAAGGTGGTGCATCTTGTTAAACCTTTCTGTAATTGGTGGAAGAGGGAGCGGTGTTGCTGGTAATGTGTATGCGCACATGTGTCTCCTCCCGCGGCAGTCAAGGCTGGTGGCATTTGCAGTCCGCTGGCTGAGGAGGGCTTGCAGCGCACACGCATTCGTTCGAAGGAGATATTTCTGGTTTACCTTGAGGGCTGGGGAAGCATTGCCGCCGGCTCCCCCCTTGCACGGCTCTGCTCCTGTGGTGCTGTGGTGGTGGGACAGGTCCTCCCGGGAAGGCCATTCTGGGGCAGGGCAGGTGGCATGGGGTAGGAGCCGGGGCCGGAGCAGGAGGTGTCGAGGAGCGGTGGGGTGTCTGCAGGGTTGGTGAGTGGTGGGGTGTCTGCAGGGGCGGGGGGGTCACAGGGTGACAATGCGTAACACACGTGAGTGTCCCACGGGAAGAGGCAGTGGGAGCGGAGCTGTGAGTCGAAGTCAGGCTCTGAAACGAGATCGCTAAGGGTAGTTTTGAGTCTTGTTTTGGAAAGGGTTTCCGTGGCGCTGGCACAAGCTATGGATTCCTCAGCTGCCGGCTGAAACACCCCCCTGCACTTTAAACACTCTTGGGCGCTCCTCAGCCGCCAGGGCTGGCTTGGACGCTGCGCTTGTTTAACCCTCCATGTCCACGAAGTTCCCGTGCCATTCCCTGGCCCGCAGCTGCTGCCGGCGCCGCAGGAAGCCCGGCCCTGCGGGGGCAACGCCCCGGCTCCTCGGCGAGAGCCATTCAGTGCCGTTCCTGTGATGCCAAGAGCCACGCTACGCACGGCCGGGCTGTCGCCGTGAGATGGGCAGAACACCCTGCTTGTTGCTTAAGAAAGTTAAAAAAAAAGGAAAAAAGGTGGTATTGCAATTAAAAAAGAAAATGGAACCCTGCTCTTTGCATAGCGTGAGAGGAGGGAGGAACACAACTGTCTACTTCATATTTAAACTTCCTTTGCTGCACGTAAGTGGGTTAGTGTGACATGTCAGGAGCAAAGTCCTTGGTCTGTCTCATTGCAGGAAGGAAACCACATTAAAAGGTGCTTTCCTTTATACTTATTTTTTCTCCTCTTCCTTTATGGAGTTGGGAAAATTTTGAAGTATCGCGCCCCAGAGGATTATCATGGTGATGCTGCTCCCCCACCAGCAGATACCACAGTGTGGATTTGGACACTGTCTCCCATAGTACTAAGTACACCAAAAGTAGGATGTTCACTGTATAGCCTTAAATCACAAAATGCAAAACAGGCTCAGCCTTGTACTTTTTAACCAGACAGATACCTTCCTTGAGCAAAAGGAATTTGAGGCTGCACAAATACAGCATATAGAGAGAAAATAGTTTGCATAAACAACACCTTTTAAACATTGTGAGAGATGATATGAGCGTACTGCTGCACACTGGGTGTGCTGATGAGGAAGAAAATGATCAAAAGGCCTTGCCTGTCACCCTGAAAAGCTCCTGGGTGAACTCCTTTGGGTGCGTGGGGTGGCAGGAGGGACCAGGAGTGTCTTCTACATGAAAGCACCACCAGAGATCCACCTGCGCTCTTCCCTCTGGCATGGAGTGGGGAGGCAGTGCTGCAGGACTCAGTCAGCGAGCTGCTGTCATTGAAGAGTAATCAAGATCATGAAGTCAGTATTGAAAGATCTGATCCGGAACTGTCCTGCCTGGTTTCAGTGGTCTCACGGTAGCTCTGTTGCGGCTGCAGGGCAGTACTGCCTTGTGGAGGTACACAGCAGGGGCCAAGCCTTCAAAGTCGAGAGTGTTCAGCATCTCCAGGAGCTGCAGTCGTGTCACAAGGAACGGCACACAAAAAGCAAAGCTGCTGGCTGATCTGGCCTTAGCAGTTTCTAGGGCTTCTGTGATGAGTTGTGTGGTACGTTGCCTCACAGCTCGATGCACTGGAAACAAACAAGCATGGTGCATCGCAGTCTTAGTGGCAAACTGCTCCGGCTTCATGTGTGAGCAGAGTCACTGTATTTAGTGCCAAATGAACAAGCATTACCAGCCTTCACTTTTGACAATCAGCATGCGGTGTTTCTTTCCCTTTCAGCTCTTGCACATCTATGAAAGTAGGTCAAGAGAGGGAACACCAGCATGGTTTCTCTTTCTCTTAGAGAGCGGTTATGAACTTTTGTGATTAGCTGGAGACATTAATTAGTTTTGCTGCTGTTCCCACTTTTGTTTTTGAATTCGAAATGTTAATCACGTTCTTAATGGGTAGCAGCCAAATGCAGCTATTACAGAGTAATAGATCACAGGAATCATTGCACTCATAAGAAGAACGTATCTTTTATATGAAATTTAAATATTATACTACATGAGCTCATGTCTTCAGTCCTCACTCGGGCTGAGTCCCCAAGCCGGGAGATGGTCTCCAAGACCTTGTCTAATTCATGCTAGTCTGCATACTTAATTGGTTAATGCAAAGAGTTTGAGAACACTTTTTGTTTGCCATTTTTTTCCCCTCTTCTGTCTGAATAATTTCTTCAAGTCTGCCTAGTGCATTGTGGTCCGCTGAATGTTTTTCCAAGCATGAGTCCCAAGCTCTCCGTCTTCAGGGCTAGCCCTCAGCTGTTGCAGTCTCTGGAGGAATGGCATTATCCTGGCCTCCTTGCGTGGGGAGTCTGTCTGAGCAGTGACTCATACAAGAGGGAATCCCTGAAGAATGATCAAATCAATCCGCAGCAGCTTGGTGCTTTCAGCTTAACCCCTTACTGGCTGCTTTTTAGCCAAGATGCGCATGTAACAGAGCAGAATATGCTTTGCAGCCCTGCAACTCTGCGTCTCACAGAGGAGGAACAAGGCAGCCGAGGGGTGAAGGTGCACTGAAAGGACCATGAGAGGAGCGCTGTGAGGACCTCTCCTGAAAGGAGAACCCCTCACGGTGTGGTCTAGCGCTCAGGCAGAAGGCACCCCTTTGGATAAATAATGAGTCTTTTCAAACGTGGATTAAAATTTGCTCAAGCCTTTTACAGTACCGTAAAAAAGTTCTGATATGTTGAAATGAGTCCTTTTCTCCTGCTGGGTTTCAAAAGGGTCTTGTGAGTCTGTGTGTCGTGGTTGTTGGGTGCTAGGTTTAGGGCGTCTAATACCGATCTGTTTTTCATCAGAATTAGTACTTTCTAAAATATAAAAAAGTCTGCAGCCTCTTACCAGCAAGGGCCCTTGATGTCTGTACGCAGGTATTCTCTGTGGAGGCAAGGTGTGTGTTGTAGTTACAAAAGCAGATGAAATGTAGTCAATGTTTGTTAGCTATGGGATGAGGCATCTGCAAGAGCATGGATAGTGATCTGAAGCTGTAATAAAAGACACTGACTTATTTACTTATCTTTCTAAAACTTCTTATTTCATTTCTAGATTGTAGGTGTACCACACAACAAAAATCTTGAGGGAAGTTCAGAAAACACGGAGGTGTTTGGAGTATGTGTTTTAAGGGCTGTATATGCCAGCTATCCTTTTTTGGTAACAACTTCTGCAAACACTGTGTACTTGCTTTCAAAGCTAGTTTTTTGAAGGTAATACGAGTTACTGAACACAAACCAGCACAAAAGCCTAACAGAAATAACCAGACTGCTGGCTCCTAGTATATCAGATTATGATTAGTGATGTATAAAACTGAGTGCGGTGGAAAAATCCTAGTTTCTTTTCACTCAGTTCACAAAATGTTTCCTGTAAGTGACAAGTGAAAGCTCGCTGATGAGACACAAAGCCAATATCCCAAGCACCAAAGCACAGGGAAGTTATGGGTATGTCTCACTGGCACGCTCTAGGACGTTGTAGAGATGCCCAAGATGTTCTGGGATTTAGAAGAAGTCTCGCACTAAGATCTGAAAGAGTTAATCTGCCCCCAAAATTGCTCCTTGCTCAAAAATTGCTCATTGCTCCTGTAGATAGAATGGTTTTGGCACTGGAACTAGCTAAAATATTTCTGGACTTCACGGATTTGGCCAAGTCTAGGCATACCTAAGAGATCAGGTTAAACTGACTGAAATCTTCATTATTAGCAAGTTGTCATCTATGGGAAGGAATGGATATTTGGTCTATTATTATTAATTATCATTCAGTTGAGTTTCCACTAGTTAAATTAGAGCTCCAAACCCATTTCTCTGGTTTTGTGCTTAGTGACCAGAGCTCAAGTCAAGAGTTTTAAAGAGCAAAAAGGCAGAAATGTAACACCCAACCTCACTACAGGGATAGTTTCTCAAATAACACTGACTGTGAAATTCTGATTCTGGACTGTTAATGTTGAGGGCCATTTTGTCCTGGTCAAAGGCCTGCATTTGAACTTCTTTCTCACAAATGCCCCTCCCTGAAGGTGCATCATGCTCTTTGATGGACATTAATGGAGTTCACAGTTTATAACGCTGTATCTCTGAGTAACTCCAGGCTTACGGTTTCAGTGGTTTTGAACATGCTGTTAATTACTCAGCCTTCAAATCAACAGTGATCCTAGCACCTATACACTCTGTAACCTAAAAGCATAATATCCTGAGCTATTGTGCCCAAAGCCATTGAAACTCATGTTTCTGAAAGACAGAGAAATAAACAGCGCCTGAGCAACACTTCCTCCAGGGTTTTTTCTCTTTCTGAATATTTTCAAACAATTAAAGAGTTTTTAGGATTTAGTTACTGCTCCAAACTCTTCGTTCTGCTGTTGGT